CTCAGGCGTTGCCAACACCTAAACAGAAGCAACAACAAAAGACTACTTACATTGTCAGAATGCTTATTCTCTACCAGAATGGTACTGACTACTTTCCATGTATTATTTCATCTGAGTCTTGCAATTACTCTGAAAAAGAGTTGCTGTTTTGTTTGTTTTTAATTTTTTTCCAGAGGAGAAAACCAAGGCACAGGAGTTGAAATAACATATTTAAGGTCACTAAGTGTGTAAGAGGCAGGCCTACAAGTGGGTTTGAAACTGAGTTTTGTCACCTAGGATAGAGCACCACTCTTCCCCAAGGACCTTTTCTTCTTCAATTGGAGAGTAGTCTCTTTTCACCTGTTTTGTAAATGAGGTCTCTGCCTTGGTTTTCTTTGAAATCAGGATTCTGTTGCTAAAGAACTTGAAAACTCCAGTCCTGCAGAGCAAATTTGATCCTTTCCGGCCTCATATTCTCCCTTCTCCCACCATGCTTCTTTCTAAAATGCCCTTTCCTGTCTTCTATAGTTAGCAAGTTATTGTGATCTCTAGGTATTTTCCAGATCTCAAGGCAGGAGAGTTGTACTTTTTGCATGCTTTTCCCATAGAAGTTTCATTTCTGTGGTCTAGCAGCAGTCGTAACTTTTATAAATAATGGCTTACAAATTTGTTTTCATAACTTGACTGAATCTGGACCGGGATTGTCCCTTCTCTGAAGCAACTTAGCCTGGCCCAGGATGCGGCACACAGTACAGGGAATTCAGCCAGTGCTGGATAAGCTAAATTAGAGCACCAAGTTAGAGTGGATCCCCAGAACCAACCCACTGAGTTCAGAAGCCTTTAATACAAACCTGAGTGTACACTCACAGAGCCGCAGGAATGTGAAGTGCAGATGATCAGATGTATTAAGCACTGGTTAGGAAAGGAATTAAAATATTTTCATAATATAACATTTTTAAAAACAAAAACATGTTCCCTTACTGTTTCAGGAGGAAGTAATTAAATGATTGAAAATTCGTAAGTGCTGTCATTTATTCAAGGCTACTACTATATGCTGCTGTCTTGGTTGGTATTTTATATCTGTTGGATCTGCTCCTCCCATTCATCCTGTAAGGCGTCTTTTAAATCTTCATTTTAGAGATAAGGAAGTGGCGGCTGGGAACGATGAAAAATCTCGTCCAAGGATAGTCACCTTCTGGGTGACAGTTAAGGAATTAGACCAGTCCATCTGACCTCACCAGAGCCTTGCCATCACCTGAAGCACATGAGCTAGTGCATTAGACGCCTTCTGACACAGTCTCTGATCTGGCACACTTTGCCCTTTTTCCTCCCAGCCTTTCCTGTGTCCAGCATTCCTTGGTTCTTTCCCTCCTTTCCCTCTCCTTACTGCAGTTTCCTCTCCATTTCCTTATAGATTGTTTTTGGAGACTGATTCTGTAATTTGTATCCTGAAATGGAAATATTTTTGACAGTGTCAATAATGATTGTACACTATTACATGTAAAAATTGATATTAATAACATGGTAATGACACATTTGCATTAATAAATACGGATACATTTTATTAAGGCTAAATTACATGTAATTATTTTGGGTTTTTTAACACAGCCTTTTAGGATTTTTTGAATCCCAATTTATACTTTAAAAAAAATGTATGTTTTTCTTCCGTTTACAATATAAATATAACAATGTAGTGAAAAGTAGATTAGATAATTTTTATTAGTTTTTTTCTAAACAGTGGAGTATCTACTTCAAATTATTTATGAAATAGAAGATTGAAACACTTCATTGAGGTCTTTTTAGAGAAGTTTAAGAGGTTTTTTTAAGTCTTAAATTCATTTACTTTCTGCCCCTCCTAGTTTTTCAGCAGAATTAAGTTTTTGAATCAGTGGATCAAGTTTTAATTTTCCTGTTCCTTCCTTATACTGACATATGCTTTGGCAGAACAAAAAAGAGACCTAAACATGTCAGCATGATTTTTGTTCAATGAATTAAAAACCATAAAAAGTAACAAGATCTGATCCAAATCCCTAGACTCCTGACAGGGTGGTTTTGTTCTTTTCAGTCCCAGGATTCATATTACTGACTTTGAGGCATTTTCTGCGGGAAGCATAAGTACATGATTTCCTCGGAATAGATGATAAGGGTAAGCAGCACGGAGCAGTGGGAAGAGTACAGGCCAGAAAGATTTAGATTTGAATCCTAGTTGTGTCACACATGCCCTGTGCAAGTCTCTCATCTGTGAGCCTTAATTTCCTCATTGGAAAGGGGGATAGTGGAACCTAATTTGAAGCATTGGTGTGAAAATCAATGATGTGACAGATGTAAAAGGACTCACTGGCATAGATGGGTTTAATAATGGTCATTAGCAAGATTATTTTTGTTTTAAGAATGCATCCAACGGGGCTGGGGATTTAGCTCAGTGGTTCTGGTGCCTACCCCACAAGGACCCAAGTACCCAAGTTTGATCCCTGGTACCAAAAAAAAAGGATACCTCCAAGGAGCAGAATCCAGGATTTATTTATATTGTAACAGTTCATTTTGTCTTCAGAGCTTTTTCTTTCTCAAAATCCTTAAATTTTTTTTCGTCAGAGAAAATACCAGATAGATCCTATTAAATGTTTAGAAGCTACTCATCACTATTCCACACTGAACATGTGCCCAGAACTTGGGATTGTCCTTACTTGGCAAGATGCACATTGATGTGAAAGTCAGGAAGCATGTGTTGGTGATGACTATTTCAGAGCAAAGGAATTTTGTTTTATTAATACCCTTGGCTTTTGAGGCAGACCAGTCTGGGCTTGACTATGAGTAAGATTCCAGCCGTCTTTGGGCCTCATTTTCCTCTTTTGTAAAGTGGAGTTTGTGATCTTATGTGACCCTCCATAATGTGGCTGCCCATTTTCTTCTCCTGTCACTCCTTTCTTTGCTCCAGCCAGTTCCTTAAATGAGTCATAGTATCTTTACAGCTTAAATTCTTCATATGTGCCTTTTCCTACTTCTGAAAATCCTCACTGGCCTTGCCTGATTTGGATTTAACTTTTCAAATCCTAGTGAGGTGTATTAGTTAGGATGGGGTAGGCTATTCTGCAGTAACAAGCAATCCCCAGATCTCTGAGGCTTGCTAAAGTTTATTTCTGTTTCATGCCAAATGCTAGAAACTGCTCATGTTAATCACACTGCGACCTGAGCTGATAGAAACTCTATTTCAGCTTGTACTGTGTGTGGTCAGGGGAAACAAATGTAAAAGCACTCATTTGCTCCTACAACATTTTTTTTTCCTCATTGAGTTTATGGTACATTTTAGGTATACAGTATAGTTACAGTCATCATTGGGATCTTGTACCTTTACATGACAGGTCTTGGTTCTCATTTTTTCCCCATACCCCTTCCCTCTCTTTACCCCCTCTTCCCTTTCCTATTTACAAAAACTTTATTTCAATTTTTTCATATTTTTTTCTTTTCCCTTACTTCTTTTCCCCTGCCATTCCCACTTCCCCTACACCTTTAGCCCTTTTTTACCTATTTCACATTGTCACTTAGCTCCTACAACTTCTGTCCTAAAGTGACATCCATCATTTCTGCTCACATTTCATGGGCCAGTGCCGCTTGAAAAGGGGTGGGGACACACATTGCTACTATGTTCCTGGAAGGATGAGAACCAGAATACCAGTGATCAGAGCTGATGAATACCACATTTCGATGTCATTTGGCCAGGAAAGTCTTCTTTGACTGCCCCTTTCCTAAACTTGGACAGTTCCTGGTGAGTTAGCTAAGCAGCTTCTCTCCTGGGGCACCTTGTCCTTTCTTCTCCACTTCCCTTACTGTAGTGCTCTGTTGTAAATAGAGCACTCTATTGTAAATGTCTCTTTACTAGCCTCTTTCCCTAAGCTCAAGGGCAGGACAAAAGCCTTGCCTTAATCATAGCACCTGCAGTACCCAACACTGTTTTTTTTTTCCTTCCCTTCACCTGCCCCCAATACCGTTTTTAATAGATCAGTTTGTACACATTGGGGAAAGAAGGTGGGGCAAATATGATGGGATACTTTGCTCTGTTGTCATTATGATTACATATAAAAAATAACTCCCTCACCTGGGCATAGTGGTGCATGCCTGTATACCCAGCACTCAAGAAACTGAGGCAGGAGGATTGCCTCACATTCGAGGCCAGCCTGGACTACATAGTGAGTTCACGGCCATTTTGAACCACATAAGCACAACCCTGTCTCGAAGCAAAACAAAATAACTGACTCATGAGGGAGGTTATTGGAAGGATTAGTGTTTAAAGTGCATATCCCAGTGATTTATTGTTGCTTGTTGTTATGATGAGGATATTAGTAGTAAAAATGATTCACATTTATTAACCATTTATAATGCACTGGGCACTGGGCACCTTTTAGAAGTTAACTGGTAAGTGGTTCTTACATGTTATATTGAGATTCATTTATTTCTTGATTAATTTTGAGATGATTCCCAAGTAATTTGTTGTAATAATTAAAGATTGTGAAGAGTTGCTACCTATTAGTTTTGGGTGATTTGCAGATTTAAAGATAATGCTATTTCTATAGCAACATCAATCTTATATTGCTTTCTTTAGTAGGAAAGAGGTAGAGTTATGGCTGACATGCCAAGGTCAATGCTAGAAACTATTCTCATGCATCATCTCATTTAGTCTTCACTCCACCCCTTGTATGCCCATTAGACAGATGGGGACTCTGAAGAGAAGAGGTCCTGAATGCATCCTATAAGTGACATGATAAGGATTTGGCCCCATATCTGCCTAGAGTGCTGGCTCACACTTGAAAGCATGCCTCTTACCAGCTTTCCTCAGCTAACTCTCCAGGAATAGTGTCTGACTCTGAACATATCCATGGGAATGAATGTGTCACATATATGAAGATCTTCAGCTGACAGAGTAAAGTTACAAATTGCTGAGCTAGTGAACAGAGTAGACTGAAGTTCTTGGGTAGAGGTTAATGTAGAGAGTGATTTTGTTGACCTTTTTTTTCATCTTTTGTTAGAGTAACCAGGGAGCACAGGGAGATGCTGGTGAAATTGGCCAAACAGAGTACCAACAAGGTGAAAGACTCGCTACGGAGGGTTCGCACTGATGCAATGAATAAGCTGAAGAAGTCAAAGGATAAGACTTCAGAGGACACCATTAGGCTCATAGAAAAACAGGTATTATTGCCAATATATATAATGCATATGTATCTGGCCTAAAGGTTCATTTGTTCATATCTGAAGTATAAACAATTAAACTGAATTTAAACTGATGTTTTTATTCACATGATCAACACTGGCTAACTCTGTATCTGGGTCTAGCTACATGCTGTACCTTGGAGGAATCTGTGAAAGAGGATAGGATGCTATTGACCTTCTTTTTTGTGCCAGACTGTGCTAAACACCTTACATTATTACTTCATTTATCATATCACTCCTGTGGTAAAAACTGAGGTAGGTGTGGGGGTGTAGCTCAGTGGTAGAATGCTTGGCTAGATTATACAAGGCCCTTGGTTTGATCCCTAGCACTGCCCAAACAAAACAAACTGTGAGATAGGTAGGGAGGACAGTGAGGTCCCAGGAAGGTCAATAACTTGCCCAAGTCACACTGTGGTAAGTGGTAGAAACAAGGTCCAAACATAGGCAGACTGATCTCAGAGATCATTTGCTTATGCTCTCTACTCTCTGGTTTTGTGGTTCATAAGAAGTGAGCGCTTACCTTCTCAGTAAGCTGAGTAGTGGAATTTGAACAATCTTAAAAGAACTTTTGGAGTACAAGAGTGAGAAACAAGAGGAAACATAGAACAGCATATGCAGTGATACATAGGAGATGTAAAAGAAAGTTGTTCACTTAGAGTAGCACAGCCTGAACCTAGGAGCAGACTAGGTGATGAGTAGAAAAGACAGACTGGCTATACCATAGCAGGTCTTACATCTCACTTTGAGGTGTTTGAACTTTAACATATCCAAAGGGTCCCACATTGTGTGTGTGTCTTAGTCACTTTTCTCATTGCTGGGAAAAATGTATGACATCTACAATTTAAGGGAGGAAAAACTTCCCTTTGGCTCACCTTTCATAGTTAGCTGGCTCCAGCACAGGACAACATGGCCGAGGAAAAGCTGCTTACCTCATGGTGGATAGGAAGCAGAGAATGAAGAGAGGAGTCAGGGAGGAAAATATATCCTCCCAGGTCATTCCCCAAGTGACCCATCTTTTCCAATCAGGCCTCACCTCCAAATAGCACATTTAACTACAAACTCATCCGTGGACTAATCCCCTGATGAATATAGCACCCTCATGATCCAGTCACCTCCTAAAAGTCCTGCCTATGATTGCATGAGGCTTTGAAGAGACATCTAGATTTTTTTTAACTCTATCATTCTGCCCCAGGACCCAAAAGACTTATATACTTATCCTTATGTAAAATGCACTTAGCCTTTAAGAGTTACCAAAGTAGTAACAGTTTCCAAAGTTCTAACAATTTCAGCATTGCTGAAAAGTCCAAGTCCCAAGCCTCCTGTTAGCTGTGAGCCCCTGTAAAGATAAAAAAGGTTAAACACTCTTAATATACAATGGCCAGAGTAAATTGTCCCATTCCAAAAGAGAAAAACAGGGATAGAAGACAGTAGGACCAGAGCAGTATCAAAACGCAGCAGCACAAACATTAAATCTTGTGGTTCCACGTCTAGCACTTGGGGTGAGTTGTGGTAAGGAGACATGAACCCCAAAGGGCTTGGGTGGCCCTTCCCCTGCCACATTGCTGGTGGTTGTAGCTCCTTTGGCTTCTGTCTTGGGCTGGCTTTGCTCACTTCTTGCAGCTTTTCTTCAGACATTCCATGTTCCTGGCTTCTTCAACTTTCTGGGGTCTCATTGTACTTTCAGCTTCACTCTCACAGCTTTATGCACTGCCGTTTCAAGGGTACACTGCCTGTCCTCTCATCCCTTCTTCCGACCCCACAACTCTTGCATGGTCCATGCCTATAAAACCAGCACAACATGGATGACACTAAAGTAAGGTCTGTTGCCAGTTTGAGCAGTAGCTGGGCCCTTTTGCATCATGGCTGCAGAGGCCTCTGAGTACCTGGATGGCTAAATGTAGTGAGCTGAATCCTGTTCCTAGGCAGTTCTCTTAGTCATTCTCTAGAAAGGTACCCTGGGGCTCTCTTCTCAAAATAAAGTCTTTCAGGCTTGCACCCTTGCACCCTGCAAAGGAAGGAATCTTACTGACTTCTACCATGCCCTAAGCTATTTTTTCCTATTGTCCTGATCCAAAGTACACTACTTGGCCTCTTTTAGTGCTAATATTTTTAGCATCCAAGCTCTCCTCTGCTTCATCTTTGCAGGTATTTTCTTTCTGGAAAGACTGAAATCTTTTTAGTAGGCTTTTTGTTTTTGTTTCTCACAATATGTATCACTAGAACCTGTGAACAGTATTTATGCTACAGCCTCAATGTTCGGTTACCTTGAAATTTCCTCTGCCAGTTGAATTAGCCTGCCATCCTTAATCTCAGTCTCCCACAAAGTCTCAGGACATGAGCAAAATATAGACAAATTTTCTGCCAAAGCAAAACACAGATGTTCTGGAGTCCAGCTGCCAATGGAATTCTTGTTCACAACTGAAACTTTCTCAGCCTGGCCCTTTTGGTCTTCTGAACTCCAACCAGAATCTCCCATCAAGCTTGGTTTACAACATTCTAGAGTGACTTCTCCAGCCAGCATCTCCAAGCCTTTCCAAACTCTTTTGTGAAACATTTCCAAAGGATTCTGAAGCATGTGGTCAGGTATTGCCCTGGCAATGACCCTACTTCTTTGATAACCAAAATCTGTCTTAGTCAGTTTCCTTGGCGCTGGGACAAAATACCTGACATCTGCAGCTTAAGAGAGGTGAGGTTTGTGCTGGGGATTTAGCTCAGTGGTCCCACCGCCTGCCTTGCAAGCACAAGATCTCAAGTTTGATCCCTGGTACCAAAAAAAAAAAGAGAGAGAGATGAGGTTTGTCTTGCCTTACATTTCAGTCAGTCTTCTGGCACCAAGGCAGGCTGCTCACATTGTGGCACCCAGGAAACAGAACAAAGGGAGGTGGTGATGAGGAGCTATATTGTACCTCCAGTGACCCGTGTCTTTGGACAAGGCCCTACACTGCTCTCCTGTGCCGCCAGGTGGAATGATAGCTGGAGGCCAGACACAGTGGACCTGGGGAGTATTTTAGCTGGTTTCCTGGGCCTTGCTCCTGCATTTTCTGATTCTGGGTGTCTGCCTAGGAATGTATATTTTTAAAAAGCTTCACACATAATTCTGATGGAAAATAAGCCTTATCATGCAAAAGAAAAAGACTATTCTTGGTTGATTCCAGTGACCTTGGGAAAGTTACTTGACTTCTTGGGTTTTTTTTGTTTTCTCCCCCTCTATAGAAAGAGATTGATACTTTCTACCTTGAAGGGTCTCAGTTTCTAGCCTGAAGGGTTTCTCCAGGATGCTTGAAAGCACTCTTGAAATACCTGTCACCTAAACCCTCCAAGCTCCCTACTTGCTGTCTTTCTGCCCGCCTGTTTCCTAACATCAGCTCAAAGAGGAGTTTATAGATTAGGCTGGCTTTCTTTTATTTATTTATTTTTCTTTTCTTTCTTTCTATATCTCTAGCCCTTTTTATTATTTTATTTTGAGACAGGGCCTTACTGAATTACTAAAATGCCCAGGCTGGCTTGGAATTTGGAATCCTCTTGCTTCAGCTTCCCAGAGTGCTAAGCATGCATCACACACCTGCCCACTGATCTGAGCACTGATGAGGCCTTAAAACAAACAGGGCCCTAACCCCAACCCCAAGTGGGCCAGCTTCTTGTTCCTTTGCTAAAGGGTTCTACCTGTGCAGCCCGCACTCTACTCTGCATTCTCATTGCTTCCTGGTGGTAAGCTTGTGGATCTTGCAGACATTCGTTCCTTCCTCAGCAGTTGAGGCATCTGCCTCAGGGACCAGTCTCCTGTGCTCCTTGTGAAAGGAAGAATGGTCAGGTATTCTTCTTGACAGAGACCTTGCTGAAATCCATTAATTAGCACTGGCCTGTCCCTGTCCTCTTCAGATTAGATTTTTTTAATCTAGTACTTCTTACTATTGATTATTTTTTCAAAGTGAAAATAGCTTTATTAGTTCTTCTGGTACTAAACTAATACTTGTTATTATAAAAAAGAACGAAGAAAGTCTCACCGTGTGGAGATGACCGTTGCCATTTTTGTACTCTTTAGGCCCTTTCAAAGCATATTCTACTCATTGTGTGCTGTACTCATCTTCCCAGAGCATGCATTATATTAGAGATACTACCATTTCCATGGTAGTCCCTTCCTCATGGTTAGTACTCTTGTTTACTTTGAGAGGATGAAAAGTTGGGGTGAGGAGCAGCCTGTGTGCACTTCGTCATTTTCTTCTTCTTCCCTGTCAGAAGACACCGACCTGCAGTTTATGGTAGAGGCATCTTTGTTTTTTATATAAACAAGGGTGCAGCTAATTGTTGCTTCATCCACAGCTATAAAAATTTATTTACTTTTATTCCTGATTATCAAACTAATATCTGCTTATTGTAGAAAATGTAGAATACAAAAAACTTTAAAAATGGGGAAGAAATTCATTTCATGAGCCCACATTGCAGAGCAGCTGCTGTTCATGTTTTGGAATACTTAAAAAAAACTACATAGTTTTAAACTGTGAGTGAGTACATAAAATATATATGCAGTTTTGGATCCAGCTTTTAATTCTCTCTTTGGCATTACAGGCATTAGCATCTTTTTGTGTCATGAAAAACATTTTGTGAATGGTCATTTCCAAGGTCTGCTGAATAGTTGATCTTATGGTTCATTTTTAGATGTTCTCTTTTTGGACATTTATTTTGTTTTAATTTTTATACTTTAAATAAGTTGCAATGAACTATAAGCCTTTGTATTTTCTTAGGCTAGAACATCCCAAGAGTGGAATTACTGAATGGAAGAAATGTGTGTCTTTAAGGTTCTTAGTACCTACTGCCTAAATCACCTAGGATTTTGAGATATGTGCATTTAAAAATTTTTACTTTTTCTAACTTCTAATACTTCAACCTAGAATTTTTAATATGAGTCTAAAATGTTGATTCTCTTAGAAGTACTGCTTTTACTTGCTATATAGAAAAGATTTTTTGTTTTGTTTTGTTTTTGGTACCAGGGATCAAACTCAGGCCCTTGTGAGGCAGGCAGTGGAACCACTGAGCTAGATTCCCAGCCCCAAGATTGTTTTTAAATAAATCTACATAGCCTTTCTAGAGGATAATTAGGCAGTTTGTAGCAAAACCTGTACATTTCTGATTCAGTAACTTAGGAATTTACTCAAAATAAATTGTCAAGAGTCTTACATACAGTGATGTTCATTGAAAGCTGGAAATATCTAAATTTCTGACAATGGGAAAATAATTGTTTTGTGGCACGCATTAGAATCTATTAGACAGTCATAGAAATATAATACACACATGAAAAGTTTTAGAATTTTTTTGGTTTTATTTTGCTGTACTGATTGAATCGAGGGCCTTTATACTGAGCTCTATCCTCAGCCCTTTTTATTTTTTGTTTTGAGACAGGGTCCAAGTCTCTTAACATTGCCCAGGCTGGTCTCAAACTTGTGATCCTCCTCCCTCAGCCTCTGAGAGTGCTGGGATTACAGGCACCACACCTGCTAGAATGTATTATTTTAAAATGGTGCTTTATAATTCCATTTTTATAAAGAAAAGTCACATACACAAAATAGTTGGCAACTTATACATATCAAAATACTAAATAAAGGTGGTCATTCTAGGTGATGGGAACATGAATAATTTTTTAGTTTTTTGTGAGTTTTTTTCTTTTAAAATGTGTTTCCAAAATCCTTTTTAAGTCAGAGATTTTAAAAACTTTATTATAACAACATTTCTGTCATCTTTGGTGTGTAAGAGTGAAATGATTCAGTTGTAGGTTCTCCCTCTGACATTGTGTCTGACCCAGACTTTCTCCGCCCCTCCAAACTGGCCAAACCGCCGTGCTGGCCAGCTCTGCTGCAGAGGGACCAGGGTCCTCCCGCTCAGGACCCTGACATCTGCCAGCCTGCTGTTTCACCTTCACTTTAGTTTGCTGTAAATGAGCCTGCTGAACATTAAAGCAGTTGGCAGAAACCACCAGTAACTCTGGCCAAGATCCTTTCACTGCTGCCTGTCTCTAAGAAGCCTGCTGCTCTGCAATGAGCGAAGCTGGGTGCTAGTGGGACAAAAGGCGAAGAGGGCTCCTGCCAATCCGGGCAGCAGGCAGTGGATGGCCTGAGCCAGGCCTCTAGGAGGATGATGTGTGTGCAGACCTGCTTGGAGCTGCACTCTGTGTTCCTGCCATCCCCCTTCTGGCCCTGTGTAGCGAATGTGATGATGATGACAACAGTGATGTTGATGATAATATTAGCTTTTATAAGTTTGCAGGTCATAATAGGAAAGGCTCTTGTTCTGGATTCAGACAGGGCTGGATTCAGATCCTAGCTCTTTTGCTTCTCAGCTGTGATGGTTAGCAAACGGCCTCATGTTTCTGAGCCTCTCTTTGCTTATCTATAAAGTAGGAGCAACTGTGCCTGTCCCATAGGATTTATGACATAGTGAACTTAGAAGTGACTAGGATGGTCACTGATCTTAGTTTTCACCCTACTGATCCATCTCACTCATTTTCTGAACTTTGACTTTAAAGGTTCTGGACTCTACCCCTTCATTGACTGTGCCACAGCCTGGCTGAAATGAGAAAGGATTAGGCCAGGTGCTATGGCCACTAAGGGAGTAGAGAGCACTAGACTGGCCCGGAGCGGTGGGTGAGTTCTTGGCTCGGCCATACCACTGACTGTTGATGTAGTCTCGGGCAGAGCAGTTAATGTTCTGTGCATTGGTTTACTCCCTTATAAAATGGGGATGATTGATACCCACTGCGTGTGCTTTATAGAGGTTATGTGAAGTCGTTAGATTTAAGTGAAGTAACAGAGACAAAACACTTTTGGATAGTAGAGACTATTATACAGCAAGCAGGTTCATAATATATGAATAAGAGATACCAATATTTCAGATGTTGTGAAGATTAAGCGCAATAATGCATTTAAAAGTGTTAGCTCAGTATCTAAGTGTAGTAAGTACTCAGAAACTGGGAGCTTTTGTTGCTGTTAATCATTAGCAGTTTCAGAGGTCTAATGAACCTGCAGATGAGACTATTCCCAAAGACACTTTGTGCTATGGTAAAAACTCAGTAAATATTTTCATTGATTAGTTAATTTGAAAAGAAGTCAGGAAATGATAGTAAAAGTCATAGTAACACAACTAACACTTGAATAGCAAATAAGTTTTAAATATGCTTATATGGTTACAATTTCGTTTAACTCTCACAACTACTCTGCAGAAGGGACTGGAATCATCCTTTGATAGATGAGGAAACTGAGACTCAGAGTGAGCAAGCGACTCACATTGCCTCCCCACATCATCACATTCTCACCTTGGACCCTCTGCCTCCTCTCCGTCTCCATCTCTGTGCCCAGACTACCTTTGGTGCTTTTTCCCAGACTACCCTCAGTGCTGTTCCTGCTGCCATACCTGATGCATGGCAGCTGCAGAGGGCAGAAGCATCTCAAGTTTGTGGCTGGCTCAGTGAAGAGAGACCAAGTTGCCATTCTTGAGTCCAGCTCCTCTTCAGAGTTTCTGGCAGCCCCAGGAGCTTTGCTTTTCCACCTGAAAAATGTGCAGTTGTTGCTATGGCGAGAGGCTGGCTGCCCCCCTGGCTGGGACCCATTGTTGCATGTCCTCTTGAGTTTTTGGTCTTTCCAGTGCATTTAGTTCCTGATTCCTGGCCAAGTCTCGTGGTTGGCAAATAAAGATGTCAGACAGCCACTGTGCTGCGTAGGGTACAGATCCTGGGCATCACACTGCTAACCTCTAAGCTACCTGTCTTTAGTCCTATTGAGATGTAGGAGGGGGGCTCAACACATACTGAATTATATTGTGTTGTGTTTCACTCATAGAGGGTGTACATGCTTACTGCAGGAAGATTGAAAATTTGTAAAGAAACCCAGAAAACGTTGATAATTATTCACTTAGTAAATATTTCCCGGGAGCTTGGTTTGTGCTAGGTCCTAGGTGAGACATGACAGATGCTGACATTGCTAATACATTTCCTATCTTCCCTTCACTTGAAGTTAACCACTGGTAGTGTTTTCGCAAATTTCCTTCCACTTTTTAAAAATATACAGTTTTTTGTTCATATATTGTATAGATCATGTCCTGCAGATATACAGAATTTTGAATCTTACTGTTTTCTTTAGTTGAAGCATACCATGAGCATGTCTCCACGGTGTTATAAGTATCCTGAAAAATTATTAAGGCAAATACTTTTTTCTTCTGATTACAAATGTAGCCCATGCTTGTTTTAAAGCACTGAAATATTTCAGGAATAGATACTGGGATATTATTCTTGTGTGCATCCTTTCCATATCTTAACTGCTCTTAATGACCATATATATTCAACTACTTCTGCCTTCTGTAACTTCAGGATTTCTGATTTTTCATTATTAAAAATAAAGCTAGGATAAATATCTTTGCATATAGAACTTAAGATAAATTTTCAGGTCCTGTTCATATGATAATTTTTCAGTTGAGATGTTTCGAGGGTTAGCTGGAATGAACATTTGCATCAGTTTGAATTCCTATCAATGATATATGAGCTTATCCATTTCGCTGTAGCTTGCTGGCATTGAATATTATAATTAAAAGCCACAACATCACATTTTGCTAACTATGATAGCTGAACTGTATCTTGTTTTAATTTGCATTTCTTCAGTGTCTATTGAATTTTCTGTTTGTTAACCAGATGTACTTCATCCCCTTTCAAGGCTCTTTTTTTTTTTTCCTGCTTAACTCGAGAGCTTAATGTTCTTTTTATTTGTTCTTCTGGAGGTTTCCTATAGCAGAATAACTGAGGTATAAGGCATTCTGGAGACCCATTGAGAGACAAATAGGCCGGCTTCTCTGATTCATATAATAGTTAAAAATGTTGGCTATGGAATCAGACTTCCATGGATTAAATTTTGGCATTGCAGCTTTCTAACTTGTGCCCTGAATAAATGACCCGAGTTTCCATTTTCCATAAGTGCAAAATGGGTATAATAATAGTTATCGCATGGGGTTGCTGTTGGGAAGCAAAATAAGAATGTATCTGTAAAATTCTTAGCACAGTGCCTGGCTGGCACTCAATTAATGTGACCTTTTGTCACCATTATTATTTCCCACATAAACCCTTTCACATTTCCGGAGCATTTGTCATCCTTACCTCATGTGATCAGTTACCAAACTGTCTCTCTCTGTGTTCTTCCAGATCAGCCAGATGGCCGATGACACCATGGCAGAACTGGACAGGCATCTGGCAGTGAAGACCAAAGAACTCCTTGGATGAAAGTCCAGCAGGGCCAGCCACACTCCAGAGCCCAGGTTATGATGGATCCCATAGATGGCAAATTGGCCCCTCTGTCACTTGCTCCATTCGTGTGGAAGGCTGGCACAGTGCTGTCAATCCACAGGCGGCCCAGCCTTCTAGTTGGACACTCGGACTTGTCATTCTTTTCCTCTTTCCCCTGCCCTCCCATTCTGCTCTGAGCCGTCTAGCAAGATGGCCCTCAGAGATGCTCTGCTGTTGGCAAAAGATCTTTACTCAGGCATTTGCTTTAATAGTGATGTGGCCAAGGGATTGGGACCCTTGGCAGCTTAGCACCACCTGATCACCACCTTGGGAATCTCCTCTTCAGACAGTGAGTCGGGGCCTGTCCCTGATTTTAAACTCTGCTCAGACTCATGTCAGCTTTCACTTGTGTCTAGGCCCCTTGTTAGAGGCTCATTTTTACCAAGTGCTAAAATCTAAATAAATTGGAAAGAATAACAACTGCAAAGGTGGAAAGGACAGAGTTTGGCCCTGATGGATGATTTCTCCTAAGAACCTGTATGTAAAACAAGCAAAACCAATGCTTTTGTCTCCAGGCCATCTTCACACATGCTGTGCTCTCTGCCTGGGCCACTTTTCTGATCCTCACAGGCCAGTCTTTTTCATGTCTACGTCACATCCTGTGGGAAGTCTTCTCCCCACTCCATCCAAGAACCCCATTTGACTCTCATAGCTCAACATGCTGGTTTTATTTGAACCCTAATTATTCTTTTTTGCTAATTACTTTGTATCTTAGCATAATACCTGGAACATGTAGGTATTCTTATATTTGTGTTGTGAATAAATTACATTTAGTAGCTACTCTACAAATGCTGACTTCCTCTTTTTCTGTTGTTAATGTTGTCTTTCTGTCATTTTCCATTCTTGTTCTTGTCCTTGGTATTGATATTTACTTGATGATAAGATTCCTTTCCCCAAGGCCTGACTGTCAACAGACAAGTGGTTAGTTGTGGCCCATCTTTGGGTGGTTGGCCAAGTTAGATGTTCTCCCTAATTATTTTTCATTCATTCATTCATGTAGCCATCACAAGCTAGATTTGGTTCTAGACATTATTGGTAATCTTCACAGTAAATTTAACAAATGTATATATTACTGCTATTTACAAATAGGAAAACTGAGAGTTGACAATGGCAAGTAGATAATCTTTCCAAAGTAACAAAGCTAGAAAGTAGTAGAGGGTTTTCATTATTCATTGTCAGTTTCATATTACAAAGAAGTGATATTTCTTGCTCAGGGTCATACAGCTGGCAAGTGGCAAGGCTGGGATTTAGATTGAGACCTGATGCTGATGTCTCTGTTCACTAATGTCAGAACGAAAAAACAAACTCTTTGCAGACTCTACTCAGACTCAACACAGAACGCGTTTGTGACCTGAGGTTTGAGACTCTCCCACACACACCAAACACTTCTCCAGTGGGTATCTTATACTGTAATTCAGTTTCGATGCTGCTGTCTTCCCAGAGATAGTGTTGATTCCATGGATTGTGGGCTCATCCCCACAGAACTGCTTCCACTTTTAATACCAGTTGTGACTGGGCCATTTATAATTCTGACTGACTAGCTACAAACTGGGTTCCCAGCCTCTTCCTTTGACTCAGTTAATTTGCTAGGACAGCTCACAGAACTCAGGGAAACACATTTACTGAATTGATTCATTATAAAAGATACAGAAAAAGAGGTACCTAGGGCGAGGTGATGGGGGGAGCATTACACTGAGCTTCCATAGCCTCTCTCAGCACACTACCCCCACAAAATCTCTCGTGCTCAGGAACCCTGAAGGATCTGCCACCTTGGCAAGCATTTGGTAAGCACCAGTCATTTGTCAGTTACTGTGCTGTGGATCGGAAATAGAAAAGTAGGTAAGATGTGGCCCCTGTCTCTAAAAGGTGCCTGAACTTAATTGCCTTCTATAGTGTCTGGGGTGGAAAGATAACGTTCCCGTTGCAGAAGGTGCCTGCCTTCGGCAGGGACTGACTGAGTTCCCTTGAAGCAGCATCTGCCTTCTGTTTGCTGTGTTACTCCCTTAGGTCTTTGTTCTGTGCTAGGTAATAAAGGTTGTACTCCTCCCTCTGCTTCTCCTGACTGAGCCTGCTGTGAAACAGTGAAAATTTGAGGTCAGGATTAGGTCGAGGATGAAAGGAACTGACAGTTACCTGCCCACTTTATCTGTCCTCTGGCCTCACTCACTGGCCCTTAGTGGGCATCATGCAGTCTGTCAGAAGCCAGCCGGGAAAACAGATAGAGCAATGAAGGAGACCCTTTGGAGCAAGCCAGACGGCAGGGGCTTTGCCACAATTTTTGTGAGTGGCTGAAATTCCCTACTCACTGCAAATGTTCTCAAAGATGCAGATTTTTTTTTTTAAATAAACAGAGGAAATGATAAATTATGTTGTAACTCCACTCCAAAGGCATTTGGTTCTTAACAGCCAAATCCTCTGTAGTCTTTAAATAAACAAAAACTTACTTGGTGAACAGACGAGGGGAAAATGAAAGATTTTCTGTACTTGGGTTCCACATGTCAACAATTTCTCTCCTGTGTGTATGTTGGCCAAAGCTGTACATCATGATAAATGAATAAAGGAAAACCTCGAGCCCAGGGCAGTCAGACTGCTCAGCAAATGGCTTTCAGCTGATTGCTCTATTTCAGTTGACATTTATCAAAGAGTTTCTCTGTTGCTCGGTGTGTCAAGGCTGCAGTGGTGGCAGGGACGAAGAGACTACCTGTTTGGATGTGCTGAGGAACACGGGTGCTGGAGTAATTCATCCCCTTCTCCCTCCACCGTCTTCCACCAGGAAAAACTGGGTGTGGAAATTCACTCGCCACAAGAATTAACTACATCCTCTGTCAGTTCAGCAGCTTTCAAAATCCCACAAAAATTCAAGCAAAGAACTTTTTTTTCTGGTGTACATGTTGGAAATTAGAAAATTCACAAATACAAAAAGTTCACACTCACAGCTCTCCAGTCTTACCTGTCTTTAAAATTAGGTTTTTATCCTTGCAGGTTTTTCTCTTTGTATCAATAATTTTTAAAAGCAGGGAAAGGAAATATTCTGTATATATATTGTGCTTTGCTTTTTTAAAAATTATTTTTAGTCCAAAAACAATTGTGACGATGTATTCATGTGTGTGCATCTAAATATTCATTCATTGCCCTGTAATATTTGATAATACGGATCTACCATTACTTTTTTAACACCTACGATACTTTTTAATAAGTGCACTGAAAGATATTTCTATTTTTAAAAAAAATTTTTTGAGAGGAAAAGGATTGCTGTTTTAGGATTATCTGGTGAATTCTGCTCTCCCACCTGCAAACTCAAGACTAGTATTTACTAAACATTTACTGTGGTCCATGCTGGACCCTTTATATGTGTTACTACATTAGACTCATTCTAGTTGATGTAGGGACTACTTTTACGCGTTTACACATGGGAAAACTGAAGTTCACAAAGGATGTTTCTTGTCCACAGTCAAAGCTAATTCGTGCTGCAGTGAAGCCTCGAACCTAGCTCTGACTGGCAAGTGGGTCCTTGATTCGTGTGCTTCATTGAGCACTTACTTAAGATGTGTGTAGTGCTGTGGGCCTGCACAGTGATGGAAGAGAAGCTGAAGTCTTGACTTACAGAATAATTAGAAAGTCATTTCTAATACAAGTGCAGCTAAATCGCATAGCACAGAGAAAACACTGAAGAAATAGTAGCACTTACAGAGACAGCAAAGATGACTTCATACCCCGCTGGATTGGCGCACTTCTCTAAAACATGGCAAGAACCAGTCGGCCAAACGACAAAGCAGTGCAAGTGTTGAGAGCATCAATAATGAGCGTGTGCTTAGTGCTTTTTAGTTTTCAAGGTTCTTTACATCCTTTATCCCATTGAAACCGTCGACTGAGACTACAGTTAGGAAAAGACTGATCAGAAAAGCTTGTATCCTCAGAAGCCGCTGGGGCTTTATTTGTTCTCATAAATGGTCACTTTTCGTGATGTACACTTGAAGTGGTCTCTCTCTGAGGGATACACATTTTGATTATAGGTATATGAGATATAGTTTATAGATTGTGTTGTTTACCTTTCCTCTGTCCTTATTTTTTGACTGTTGAAGCATCTGAGAGTGCTGTGTATCGGTCTGTGGTTACTGATGTTTCTATTTCTTCTTGCCTTTCCTGCAATTTCTGTTTTATGAAATTGTCGCTGTGTCATTTGATGCCTAGCTAGACTCTAGACTCTTATCATCTGAATTCTGCCAAGATCACAGTCCTTGCCTGCTTGTTTACATTTGCTTGGTATATCTTTCCCCATTTTTCCATTTCTAGCCTTTCAGTATCACTGATTTGGATGTGTTTCTTTTTCAGCATTGAGTTCTGTCCTATGAACCGTTCTCAAACTCCTTTTTTTCTTACGTTGATTTTTATTTGTGGTAAATTACACATATAATGTTTACCATTTTATTCATTTTAAATGTACAGTTCAGTAGTGTTAAGTACCTTCACATTGTTGTATAATCCGTCTCCAGACTTCTTACACCTCATGTCCACTAAACTCCCCAACCTGCCCCTCAGCCCCTAGTAACCTTCATTCTTTTTGTCTCTATGAATTTGACTACTCTCAGAACTTCATATTAATGGAACCAAAAAGGTAGTCTTTATCCCAGCATTTTTCCTGTGGCATAATGTCCTCAAGTTTCATTTATGTTGTGGCCTGTGTTAGAATTTCTTCCAAGGCAGAATTAATACAGTGTATGTACATACCAAATTCCTTTAAACAGGCAACTTGGAATCACTCACATTGTATATAGTACTCATCAATTTAGAGAAGCCATTTACTCTTGTATCTTGTTTGGTTTGTTTGTTTGCTTGTTTTTTGTACTGGGGATTGAATGCAGGGCCTTACTAGGTAAGTATTTTATTACTGATTGTATCCTCAGCTCTTTATTTATTTATTTAAAATTTAAAATGTATTTTGAGACAGGATCTTGCTGAGTTGCCCAGCCTGGTCTTGGAATCCTCCTGCCTTAGTTTGTGAGTGGCTGGAATCACAGCCCAGCTTCTGCCTACTCTGTCACACGGTCAGTATTAACTCAGTGGTGGGGTGACCCAGTCCTCTGCAGTCAGAGACTAGAAATCAGACTAAGGAGAAGGGTTGCTTCCTCTTGGTCTAGCTCTCGCTGAATGAACAAATAAGTGACTTGCCCTGTCTTTTATATTCTGTTTTTCAGGTCTCTGTTTCAGTCCATCCAGTGTGTCCCATCAGATCAACATCCTGTCACTTCTCTAGGGAACATTTGTGGCAAATGTCACAAGCAAGCTTTGCCCAGGGCTCTAAGCACTTGGCCTCTCCTTAGAGGCAGACAAGACTCTACCACAGGAGCCTTGTAGGAGCCCCTGCAAGAATATTCCCTGTTCCTTCAACCTGCCCACTTTATCTGTCCTCT